TTGCTGGTCCGCGAAAAAGGCCGCACTAGAAGAGCTAAATTTGAAATCTTTTAGTCGCACATGAGTAAGGAGCATCCTTAAAATTAAAGCCTTCAGCTTTTCCCGTTCCCGAATTAGCAGTTTTCCCATCAAAATTTTCGTGTGTCCGTACGTAAGTACCGGACGGTTTTAAAGAGCTGAATTTGAAATCTTTTGGCCATACATGAGTAAGGAACACTACCCTAAAGTTTCAGCTTTTTAGTTCTTTTCGCTCCCGGGTTAGTGATTCTCGCTCCAAAATTTCCACGTGCCCATACGTGAGCCCCGGGCGGTCCTAAGGAGCTAAGTTTGAAAACTTTTGGTCGTGCGTGAGTAGGGGACACTCCCCCAAAGTTTCAACTTTCTAGCTTTTCTCGTCCCCGAGTTATCAGTTTTCCCATCAAAACTCTCATGTGCTCGTACGCGGGGCCCAGACGTGCGTGAGAGTTGATGCCGCGGTCCTGAGGTGGCGCTTGGCTGGCACGCTGGCAAAATTTGAGTTTCAAAGCTTGCGTGGTTGGCGAGTTGAAATACCCGGGCAGACGAACACACACACACACACAAACATACACACACATACATACACACACACACGCACACACTGACGGGGTCGTTGCAATATGCGTTTTTACTGCCTGTTGCAACGTTTTAGCACTGCACGGCAAAAATGCATAAAAAATGGCTTCAAAAACGTTGAATTTACATAAATAGTAATAAACATAAAAAAAGATCGTCATTCTGGTCAAACAGCATCAAATCAGCAGTGGGTCTCATTTTTCAGAAAGGTAGATACGTCATTGTTGTCTAAAAAGTTTGCAAGCAAATGGACAAACACAAAACAATTATTCTGGGCAAAAGACTTGTAAATTAGTTATATAACAGATATCGTGTTAGTAAGGAAAGACGGTGAGCACGAATGGTTTGGAAACAACAGATGTGAAGTAAGTAGTAACAAATGCCAAACAAACCTTTTGGCTTTCGAAGATGCACTGAAAATTCGCAGCATTAATAATGGCTAATACAAAGAGAGCAGTGTTGGTTAATTATTTTGATCTAAAAGCAACATGTTTCAAAATATATTCGATAAGAACTGCGCACTAGGGAGCGAACAGTTGCAGTTAGTGTAGCTGAAAATAGAATTGAGGGGATCGAGTAGAATATTCTTTAGTTTCAATTAAAATTCCCTTTCACAAAATACCTTCACAAGCAAACGCTGCAATTACCTGACATCAAAAAAAAACAATAACCGACGGAACACACGAAGGTACCGAAAGCCAGAATCGACCAAACTTCAAAAGCTTCCAAAACAAAACTTCCCCGAGAAAGGGATCAGAAAACCCACCTGACCTGACCTCAAACTGATTCACTTCCGCCCACAACTACCTGGGCGACTTACGACAACAATAAAATCATCGATCAACGTAATGGCAACAGTGCAGCAGCCATTCTTCCGCCCTCGATTTCGCTCTCGCGACATTTACTAGGCGCAATCGCTCGGATTAATTCCGGACACCTTAGACTTTTATGAAGAGTGAATATAAAGGGAGTTTGAACTTTTGACACTGACTAGTGAATCGAATATAAGCAAGCTTTAAACAAAGAAGACAAACTGCCATGCGCAATGAGGGAAAGATGCACCGTCTTGAAACTGTATCATTGACAAACTATAACTTTCGTCGGAAAATTAATATTACTCACATGTTTTTTAGTTTCATTATACGAACAAATTCCTTGTATCAAAGTGCTGCTTAGTGGACGAAAAAACGGCTACTTTTCACCAAAACCGCAAAAATGATGTATATTTTTCAAGAAAAAAACTTTAGTCTTTATCTGATCCAAGTGCAACTTCTGGAGAACAACTTTCAGCCGAATATCTTACTATTTTCCGCTTTCAAATAATGAATCAGCACTAATAACCCAAATCATAAAACGAAGCTACAAAATTACTGCCGGATCATTTTTCGAATTACCGAAATTTTTGAAATTAGAAGCAATGAAGCATGTTGTCTTGTTTTAACGTGCCTAAGGCTGAGCAATCAGCAATTATGTGTAGGTGTGTGAA